AAAAGTCCTCTCTATCAAGTATTTATTTCAATTTAATGATATTATAATTGAATCCTCAGTGAGACACTTTATTATCGCTGTTACTGCAGTCTCAAATATTATTGACTTGCATAAAAATGATGACCTCAAATCCTTAACAAGACAGGTAAAAGTTCATTGGACTACAATATGTTCTATCTTTATATTAGATCAGGCTACATACTTGACTTTCTTTTAGCAATGAAAACTTTGTTCCTTCATAATGAAGATATTTTTAGGAGAATTACTTACATTATCTTGATTGGAAAAACTTAGACCAGATCTATATAAAAATTGGAACTGTGTTAGATATAATTTAACTATTGAGACAGCTGATTATTTATGGTTATGTAATGCTTATTCATCAAAAATCAATATTATTATCTCTAATATTAAGTCTCAGATCGTTAATTTGATTTCAAAATGCTGTTCACCTTTTCTCTTTACTTTTATTTCATTATCTTTGGATCTATACTTAAACAAATACTTTGCATATCCAACAGACGGGATAAGTTCTTTTCTATCTATTATTCAAGGGAAATTACTTTCTTCATTATTTGATGATCTTACAAATCTGATCAGATTGTTTAAAAAAAACTAATAGAATTCTTACGATTGCAATTGTTGCTCTTTATGAATAACTATTCAATGAAATTTAATCATATTGCTACTCTCTTATAAATGCCAAAGAATTATTGAAACATATATATCACTTCTAATATGAAAAACATGAAGAAGAAATGCAAATATTTGTCTTATGATAATAGCATAGCTCTAACTAACATTTGAAAATTATGGATTCAATTTGCTCTTATATATGGATATAGGTAGATGGATTTTTAAACCAGTTCTGACATGTTCTTTTTCTTTTCTTGATGATTTTAGTAATCATTAGGCTAGTTCTTTTGGGTCTAAAGGAGGGAATTGATGATAATAGGTCGACCTAGACAGATAGGTATGTTTACATATTCTATTAATGGGAGGTAGCTAACATTTAGTCTAGATTATTAGATAGTTTTATTTTGTTTTGTTTTTACTATATGTATTTTCTTTTATTTTCTTCGGAAAAATCTTTAAACCTTAATAAAATAGTTGGCAGAGCCATCTTAAAAAAAAAATGGAAATAAGTATTTTAATGTTTTGTTATTAATAAATGTTACGTCTTTTTGATTTTCTACATTTTTAATTAATATATATAAAACTATATTAATTAGACTAGATTTGCTATTATTTTAAATATTTAGCAAAATTATCAATAATTTTGAAATATTACAAGATTTTGATAATTAAATAAGAAATTTTTTACAATATTACTTATTACAGAAAATTATTATCATATATTAAAGTGTTGCGTTAAATTAAAATTTGTTAAAATTTAGCTTAAATTCTTAATTCTGGTAAAATTATAAATCGCATGATGATGTAATTATGTACTTACATTTCGTATGACATTTTTTGAGTTTTGTATTACATTTTTGGTAAAATAATTATCATGATATGTATAATTGGAATACTATAGGTCCTAATATATATATTTCTTCATTTCGCTCTGGACTAATTATTATATGAGACCTTTGCAATAGAAAGGGAGAAACTGCCAGGAAAATTTAATTTTACTTTTATATGCCAAATATGATTTTTAGGCTGAAATATGTTCAAATTTAACATTAACTCATTTTTGATTTTTCTGGTCATTTCCCCCCTTTCTATTGCAAAGGCCCTATATATTGTATATTAATTAATAGGATTTAAATTTATTTAATTTATAAATGCTTTGAATTTGTATAATTAATAAAAGATTTTATTTATTAATTAATAGGTTTTTTATTTAATTAATTAATGGAATAATTTATTATTAATCAATAGTTTTTATCAACAAATTTATTTTATATTATTAAATGATAAAGTATTAGTAATGTGTTAACTTAGTACATCTATTAACTTTTTAAAAAAAGAAAAAAATTTACAATAACATTAATTACAATTTTTAAATTCAAATATTAATGAAATAGATTTTGAAGTTTTAAATATTAAAAAGATAAAGATAGTGAAGATAATAAAGATAATATTATTACTTCTGAATATTAGAAATAAAAATTAAAAGAATAGAAAGAAATATTATTAAAAGAAGAATTAGGAGAAAGAAGCATTAGGAGATAATTTAAACAATAATATGAAAAGTAATCTTTTAAATGAATATATATATTTAGTAATAGATAAAAAAGTAAGATAAAAACTTAGAAATTAATTTATTACTTTTTTTAATATTTCTGATTACTTAATTATAATATTAAATAAATAAATTTTAATAAAATTCTTTTTTTTTGTATGATTAAATATTATTAGATAAAATATATCATATAATAAAGTGCTTCTAATCTTCCAATAAATTTTTATTGAAAATTAAAAATACTATTAAAATTAGAAGTTTTGGAAGTCCAATATATTTTCAATTCTTTTACTAAATATTATTTATTGCCTATAGAATTCTGTATATAAAAAATTTGATTTACTAAATACTTTTTATATATTAAATTTTTATTTCTAAACTAAAAGTTTGATATATCAAGGTTTTTTGTAGATAATGTTTTTTGAATTTTTTTTAATATTTATTTTAGATAAGATTATCTATTAAAAAAATATTAGAAGTATTGAAAGAAATATTAAAATCTTCTAATAACCAATTTTAATAGCATAAAATTATAATTAGAAGCATCTAATATATACGACTTATTAAAAGATTGAACTTTTCCAATACTTTTAAATCTTCTAATAGGGTTTTCAATTTCAATAAAAAGTTATTGAAATCTTTTCAAGCATATCAATCATATCACAGCTTAAAGGGTAAGAAAATAAAATTTATTGAAAAAAATTTTTAACTTTTTAACTTTTAACATTACAGATAATTGCTTATATATATATTATGTATTTTAAAAATACTTATAATATATAAATAAAAAATAAATAAAAAATATAATAAATGTATGAATTTTTAAAATAATAATCACATATTGTCTTATAAAGTTATATTTTAAAAAATAATATTTCTTAGATTTTCACATTAATTTTATTATAAATACAAATTGTTTTTAAATTAATCTTATAAGTTCAATTTTTAAATACAATCAAAATATATAAATACTTATATCTAATTTCTTTTTAAGATCACTATATCAAAAATTTAAAGCAATTATTGAAAAAATGCTAAATTTTACTATTTATACTATTTCTAATTAAAGACAATAAATTTGAAAGCTATTTCAAAAGTTATTATTTTAAATAAAAGTTAAATCAGATTGATACTGGAGTTTGATTATTTAATTGAATCATATTATTATTATAAAGGGTTTCTAATATTTTTTTACTAGCATTTAGATTTGAAGTTTTACTTTAAAATTCAATATATGATTTCTTTTTTTGAAAAGATATTATATTAATATCTACAAGCAGTATATATTGCTTACTATGCTTGTAATTCTTTTTCTTGTAAAATAAAATTATATAGATAAATATTTTGTATTAAAAGTGGAAATTGTATGATAAAATATGCCAATTATAAAAAAGAAAACCAAATGATCATTATATTAAAAATTATGTGATTTTACATATTGATCAAAACATTTTCTTGATTTAATTAATTCCAAATATTATCTGATATTTCTTCTATAATTTGTTTATTTTAATAGATCTTTAAAAGGCAGTATTTCTTTTTGATTTCAAGTAAAAATAAATGTTGTATACTATTATAATGTGTAATAAATGAAGAAATAAATCCCGTTTCAGTTTCATAATATACATTCTTATACTGCTACCAAGATTATTATTACAACTGAAAAATTTTCAATATGAAGAAATACTGGAAAAAATGATAAATTGTTAAATTATATCCTCACTTTCAAACCCTATAATTTCTAAGCCTAAATATTTAGCTTTTATACAAAAAACTATTTGATAACGTGTTTTATTTACTGTTGATAGATATAATTTGATTTTACTTTTAATTTTCCTATATATTGTTAACTGCAAAATTAACATTATTAAAAGATCATCAAAATTGATCTACAAATTATTATTTGACTTAGTTGACAAATATGACCAATTGATCATATTTGACCGATCTACCATATTTATCATATTTATCTTATATATTATATTGAACATATTTATCTTATAATATTACTATTAGTTTATCTTATATAAATAGCATGTATTTTCCCTTGAGTTGAAAGATAACTCGAGATAGGGTTTTGTGAATAAACCAAGAGTTCAATAAAGATATTTATTATTCATTTACTATTACCTTTTGCCGTGTCTTCATACAGGCGTGATTGTGATAAAGTTATTGTGATTAATTCGACGGACTGAATTATATTGTCTAAGTTTTATTTCCAGCCCTCCGGCTAACAATATGCATTAAAAACTCAGTTTCAAAAAATTTTTTATCATTAGAAGTTACTGTAATAATAAAATTTTGACCATTTAGTAGACATAAAGTATAAAATAAACCTTTTTTCCAGTACATTTACATAAGATAATTATTGCTATTAAAAAAATAAAACATTATTATCTATAATTTCTCCATAAACACATTTCTCAATAAAATATATACTGCGCATCAATTTATCTAAGCATGTCCAGTTTAACATCATTCAACTCTTTGGGAAGCATGCCATTTTTAGCCTTAACGCTATTTTTTTGTTCGTTATTTTGACTATATTCATGGGAATCATTATCATGTGGATGATTCTCAAACAAAAAAATTCTGATGAAGCTATACGTTATTACTGCGGAAATCTGCAAAATTAAACTCTCTGCACGTGATACTAAAATCGCCAATGAACTCGATAATACATCTATTAACACGTGATAACGATTTTTCTGAGATGAATGGAATTTTGGCATCGCAAGTAAATTTAGTGAGATCAAAAAATTCTAAAATATCATATCATCATAATAACTTCTGTGAAATTTTTCAAATCAAAATGATATGGCTCAACGTTATGCAAAGATCTGACTTTGATCAACAAAATGTGACCAATGATTCAGCTCCAACTTCAAGTTCTTCTTTTCGATCTTCTTCCGGATCCTCTTTTGGTTCTAGTAAGAAATTTTTTAATTGCAGACTCAGGCTAAAGATTCGCGAATATCATTTCTGTAATCCGAGAATAGTTTTCGGATATCTTTGATAGGGTTATGATTATTCTTTAGACCGGTTAATATTCTTAAAGTTAGGATAGGAGCAATTGGAAAAGATACAATAAAGGGTTTTTACCAAGTTGATAATATAAAAAGCAAAAACTTAGAAAAGATAGGTGCTTGGATGGATATCATATATACCACTGAGTGAACTGCCATCATATGGGTTAGGGATCACATAAAACTTTCTCTAACGACAATATTCACACGACAAAACAATGAATAGTGAAAACCAATGATTTTTAAATTTTTTACCTCATGATTCTTTCAACCCGTTATACTTTGCGAATAAAAGAACGAATAACGATAATTTTAGTAACGCTGTGTTTTCCATTTGAAAAATGATGCCAAAAGAATTCTTATTAGCCAAATTTATCGTTCTCTACATTCTCTGTATCGATGTATTGGGCTACAACATAGATAATCCATGGAATAATGGTTCGTCAAAGGATTTGAATTTAATGTTAATGTCGTGACCAGATTGGCGAGCATAATCTATAAAAAAAGAAAAAGACAATAAGCAGTTAATCTTAATTGCTTTAGCCGTAATAGTATCCTATTACAGAATCAATTTCCATAAAAAATTATTTCAATAAATTTCACTTAGTGAACAAAATATTCTCATTCTACTTTCGAAATTGGAAATAAACTCGTAAGCTATGTAATATGTGCATTCTTATTGTCTACAAAACATCTTTCCATAATAAATTATTTCAATCAATTTCACTTTACTTAGTGAACAAAATATTTTCATTCTACTTTTCGAAATTGGAAATAAACTTGTAAGCTATGTAATATGTTCTTATTGTCTACAAAACATATAAAAAGTCTTTTCTCTGGTGGACCCTTTAGTGGTAATTTAATTCACTAAAAAACTTCTCTATTGGATCAATCACGTTGAACCACACAAAAATGGCAGATTCCCCAAAGGACATCGTAATTGAGGTAGAAGAGTCCATAAAGAAAGAAGAACAGTTGAAAAGAACATTAAATATAAAAAAGTTGGAGAAGTTATCAGAAGACAATTTAAAACTTGTAAAAAAATTGAAATTTGTTCTAAATATAACTTTGTTCTTCTCTATTATTTGCTTGTTACTTGGAAGCTTTTTTATTTTTTTAAAAGTAAGGAACGCTGGGAATCCTTATACTATAAAAATTGTAGCAAGTTCCATGTTTGGAACCTTAGGTGTGGGGACTCTTTTAACGAGTTTAATAAGATGTATTAATAATTGCGGTAATAATAATGTGGAAATGGGATCTGATATTGTTAGTTCTTCGGAGTTTCAAGTTGATATTGGTATTGTTGAACTTTCTTTATCGAATTATAAAGGGCGTGGAACGAATGAAGAAAATGACCCAGTGTTCCAAACGATGGATTCTGTTAAAGAAAGGAATAAGAAATTACATGATACGGGATATATACATAATGTATGTTTGATTGTTGGTTCTATTGTTATTATTGCTCTTACAATATGTAGCATTTCTACTCTCATTGATACGAAATTTATGGATGAAAAAAGATATATTCCTATTAGCTATGTAGCGGATGTAATCATTATTGGTGGTGGGGTGTTAGGTCTATCGCAATTTTTGTATAAGTATATTTTCCTGTCGAAACCGGAAATTTTTAAACATTGGTTTCCTTTTTGTTTAGCTTTTCTTGGACTATCTCTTGATATTTGTGTTAAAAAAGTAAAACATAAGAATAAACCGGAAATGAGAGTTTTGAAGGAGGACATACGTTTGTTTAATATTTATGATCTTATGCGTCTTGCTTTGGATGATGAAGAAAGAGGAAATGTAGAACGATGTTTACATGGTTTAAAACCGAATGAAATATAAAGTCATCAGTATAAAGACATGGTGTTGGTAACAACGTAACTCATATCTTGAGAAACGATAATTTGATCAATGCGTTCACAACTTTTATATTGTTTTATTATATTTAGTTTTAGTTATAATATATATATAAATAAACATAAATTAGGGACCTAAGCGGTCCTAAAAGTCCCAATAAATTTGCCAGTTCTAGAGAAGATTTTTATAAAAATATATTAAACTTATGCGGGAACCCAGAATCTTAATTTTTGAAACTTAGGACCCGGTCATAAGGACCGGGTCACATCTTGGCGGTCCCATGTTAATTGTCGATTCCAATGTTTATATTTCTTTTATAAAATTTATTATTACAATAATATATCAAGAGTTACTTATTATAGATAAGCAATTAGACTTTTATATAACTCGTAATTTCAATATTTGTTTACAGTCATTTGGGACCGTTTAACATCCCTAACATAAACATTAATTTCCATTTCCTAGTTTATTCTATAAGATAAACTTTGTTTTACAATCTGAATTAGTAGATATTTCTTATGCGCTTTATTCTCTTTCATTAGCAGGTATGCAAAACAAGAATATTCTTGCAATGCATTCCCAAGCATTAAATTGATGCAAGTGTGCCTGAGATTTCTTTTTCAGCTTATAAATTGATGCCGGCTAAAGAATTTTTCAATTCTGTATAAAAAAATGCATAGTAAATTCATGTGTATAGTTATTCACATAATTTATTAGACTATACATCTCAAATTTTTTCAAATAGATCAATAATAACAATGTAGCAATCTTGGGGATTCTTGATTCCTAAATACTACTACCGTAACCTCTATAAGTGCATCCTCTATAAGTGCACATCCTTTCTATATACACACCATAGATTGGTCCTAAGCTAGGAACTTAGAGCTAAGTATACACCCTCTATGTTCTGCATGTGTAAGCAATTCTGAATTTGAACACCCTCCATAAATGCCTTCAAGTGACATTATATAATATTGACCAATTATCAAAGATACTATTCACTTTTTAATTACTGACAATAGGATTGGCAAACTTGTTTGATCACTAAATTAGATAAATAAATTTGATTTGAAAAATCTCTTCTTTTTTGAATTTATCGAATAATCACATTTTATATGTAATATTTTCAATTTTAATAAATTTAAAATGTAAAACTATAAATCTTTTTATATAATATAATATAAAATGTGTAATTATTTTGTATTAATAATGCAAACTATTATTACAGATTTATTGTATTGTGCTCTTGCTTGATCAATTATTCCAATTTAGTATAGCCAGGAAATATTTTTGCAAGATTATATTTATGAGAAAATAATGCATGCTATAAATCCTATAGAATATTGTCTGATTTTTAAATTAAAGAAAAATGATAATAATTTCACAATTATTTATTATTATTGAAATCAGCAATATATCTCCAAAAATATCTCTTAAAGAACACTCTTATTGAAATTCAAAAGTAAGAACTTTGTGTTTATGCTCATGAAAATAAAAAGACTCAGACTCAGTATATTGATTAGATCAAAGAAAAGTAGTAAGTTAGAATTAATAATAGCACTATTACTTATAACAAAAAAATAACTTAATTCAAAATCTTTTAGTCCAATTATAAAGTAACATAAATCAGTTACCTATTCAGAACTTAAAACTAGTACTCAAGAAATTCATTTTAACCTATCAGCATTGAACAGTTTTAAGTAATGCAATAATTATCGAAAAAGCTAAAATGATTGCTGATAAATTAAAAATTCCTTAAGATGCATTACAATTTTTCCTTGTATAGCTTCATAAGTTCAAGGATCACAATGAAATTTACTAAAACAAGCTTGAAGAGGAAGATTCATCTACTAATAAAGTTACTATTGCTAATGCTTTACCCTTATTAAAAGAATATAGTTCTAGTTACCTCTTATAATTATAGATAATCAGTCGATTCTGCGGTCTTTGATTGATCTTTAGTAAATTTTCAGAAAAGTAATAAGGCTGTGCTTTCAATTTTTTGTAGCACAACAGAACTATATATGTCATAGTAATTGTTTTATTAAAAACATAATATGAAACTTGAAAAATGTAATACAAAATGTAAGTACGTAATTATGTCATCATGTGATTTATAATTTTACCAGAATTAAAAATTTAAGATAAATTTAACGAATTTAATTTAATGTAAATTTTAATATATAATAATAATTTTCTGTAATAAGTAATATTATAGAAAATTATCAGATCTATAACTTTACTTAGTATTATAAGTTTTATTTAATTATCAAAATCTTGTAATATTTAAAATAATTGATAATTTTGCTAAATATTTAAAATAATAGCAAATCTAGCCTAATTAATATAGTTTTATGTATTAATTAAAAATGTAAAAATCAAAAAATACATAACTTTTATTAATAATAAAACATTAAATACTTATTCAAATATATATTTTTTTTGATGTGACTCTGTCAACTATTTTATTAAGATTTATAGATTTTTCCAAAAAAAATAAAAGAAATTACATATAATGAAAAAACAAAACAAAATAAAAATTATCTAATAATTTAGAATAAATGTTAGCTACTTTCTGTTAATAGAATATATAAATATACCTACCTGTCTAGGTCAACCTATCATCATCAATTCTCTCCTTTAGATTCAAAGGAACTAGCCTAATGACTACTAAAATCATCAAGAAAAGAAAATGAACATGTTAAAACTAGTTTAAAAATCCATCTACTTATATCCATATATAATAGCAAGTTAAATTCATAACTTTCAAGTATTAGTTGAAGCTATGCTATTATTGTAAGACAAATGTTTACATTTCTTTTTCATGTTTTTCATGTCAGAAGTGATATGTTTTGATAATTCTTTGGCATTTATAAGAGAGCAGCGATATGACCAAATTTCATTGAATAGTTATTCATAAAGAGTAACGATTGTCTTTGTGAGAATTCTATTTGTTTTTTTAGATGATCGAATCAGGCTCATGAGATCATCAAATAATAAAGAAGGTAATTTTCCTTGAATTATAAGTAGAAAAGAACTTATTCTGTCTGTAGGATTTACAAAATGTTTGGTTAAGAAAAGATCTAAGAATGATAATATTGAAGTAAATAGAAACAAAGAACAGCATTTTGAAATTAAATTAATGATCTGAGACTTTATGTCAGAGATAATATTATTGATTTTTGCTGAACAAGTATCACATGACTATAAATGATCAGCTGTCTCTGTAGTTAAATTACATCCAATGCAGTTCCAGTTTTTGTATAGATCTGGTCCCAATTTTCCAATCGAGATAAAGTAGGTGGTTCTCCTAAAAATATCTTTGTAATAAATGAATAAAGCTTTCATTGTTAAAAGGAAATTGAGTATGTAGTCTGATATAACGTAAAGATAGATCATATTGTAATCTAATGAACTTTAGCCTGTCTAGTTAAGGTTTTGAGAAAATTATTTTTATATAAGTCAATAATATTTGAGACTGCAGTAGCTGCAAAAATGTCTTTAATAAATTGTCTCACTGAAGATTCAATTATAATATCATTAAATTGAAATAGCACTTAATAAAGGGATATTTTAGATAATTGATAGAGATCTCTGATGACTGTATTCCTGATTTGGCTAGGTCATCAGCTATATTATTATAAATATCACCACTGTATCCTTTGACCTTAATGAGTGTAACAATGAGATATGATTGATTCACAATATATTTGATAGTCTTCTAAAGAGTGTAATTAGACACTTTTTCAAATATTCAAACAGAAAAATTGTTATTGGAGATATAAGAGCTAAAGCCATGGATAGTAGCCATACTATCATTGCATAAAGTGACTTTGGAATTTTTAGAAGAAACAATCAATGTAGTGAGAAGTATAAAAATTTCAGCTCTAGTTGATAAAATCCAATTGGTTACAGAAGTACAAAAGGATTGTTGTTGATTCAAACAAATCCAGCTTATTCCTATTCTACAGTTATTAGAAGTAGGATGAATTAAAGAGCCATCTGTATAAAATAATAGAGAAAGATCAGGAGAGAGTGAAAGAACTATTTCTGAAAGATAATCAATATATTGCGATTTGTTGATAAGTTAAGATATTAATGAAGGTGTAAATCTATCATGTTGAGATGAAGGAGTGATCAAGAAAGCTTTACTTTTTGCATAAAAGGTGAGTTCAAATAAGAGTAAATAAGGAGAAATTTTCAAAGCAACTTTCTGATATTGTTTTTTTGTCTATAATATCTATTTTAACAATATTTTGAAATGGAACTTTAGACACACATTTTTTTTTACCATTCAAGGTATAACCAGAACATTTAACAAGACTTTCTAGTCTCATATCATTTATGATTAAATTGAATTAGCATATATTAGGTGTCTCAATACGTGAGTATTTTCTAGTAACTTGCTCATAAATATTAGTATTAGTGAGTGGATTCCAAAAGGTGACATATTCTCTTCTAGTGTCAGAAGTATTAATATCTAAATCATAAAGTGAAATAAAGGAAGAGTTATCATCTAATCTATATTCTAATTTAAGAGATTTATCTAAAGGATTAAGGATGACTAGATAAAAATAAGTTTATATAAAAAAGAAGAATTTATTCTAGCAGATTTTAATAATGAAATAGGGAGATGAAATCTAACATCTTTTCAGTTAAGAAGATGGTAACCATCAAGTAAAATTACTTGGTCCAAATAATATAGTTGTAATCTTTTAATAATATTAAAATTTTGTTTAAAGGTAGTATAAGAAAATAATTGATAAAATGAATGTAATCCTCCTATTATGTGATTACTCAAAAATCTTTGACACTAGGTTTAAAACCAGAGGCAACTGTATTAATGATGCTAAGTTGATTACCAATTAGATTTTTATGAGAAGAACGATTATAAGGATATTTCCATAAATAAAGCAGAAATGAAGAAAGAAGGTTAAATGATTGTAGTTAGAAGAGGCAAATTGAAAATACATTGAAATAAAGAT